TGAAAAGAAAGAAGATGAGTGAAAAAAAAAGATAACAGAAGAAGAAAGATCTTACAAATATTGACTAAATACCATTATAAAAGCACAGCATAGGCTACAGTTATATTATGAGAGTTTATTATCAGATAAAAATATATTTAAAAATGAATTACGTACACTACTGTTCAAAAGTAATATTTGTTTTGTTTTTGAAAGCCATTTCTTATTCTCACCCAGGCTGCGTCAAAAATTGTATCAAAAATACAGTAAAAACAGTAATATTGTGAAATATTATTACATTTTAAAATAAGTTTTAATATATTAATATTTTATATTGTATGTAAAAGTCTTGTCAATGTTGGTCGATTTAATGCATCCTTGCTAAAAAGTATACTTTTTTTAATAAAAAAAAAAAACTTACTGACCCCAAACTTTTGAATGGTATTGTATGTCCATAAATGAATTTCATTGTAATGGTGCAATCAGACATCTTAAATCAGACTTTAATTAATAATTTGTGGAGAACAAAACATATTGTAACAATCACAACATAATTTATCCAAGTACCACATGTTCCCAGATCAACATCCTTAACCCCTCATAACCCTGAATGTACCTCTAAAATCAGAAATGCTATTCCAGGGCCTAAACTCAACCCTAGCCCTAAAATCAATATGTTTGATAAGGGTGGGGTTGGGTTAATCACATAAACCCTTATAAGAAAATTTTTTTAAATTATAATTTACACATTTTGCTACATGTTTGCAGCTTAGCAAATAAGCTATGCATTGTATCAGTATGGTATCCCCTGGTCTTAGTGTTACTATAGCATCAAGCACTACCAGTTGAACTGAACATTCAGAGAATGCCACAGCCAGATAATCCCTAAATTTAACTCCTTAAAGTCCCCATGAAATCAAAATTAAAGTTTTTTGGGTGTTAGTATCAATATGTTAGTCTTAAGGTTATCTATAAGGCAGTGTGCTCCAAAACAGTGACAAAATTCGCATTTAGAAGATATAAGCATTCAAAGCTTGCAGTTCGTCACTTCCGCCAAAACGGCTCAACGATTTTTTTGACGTCACATCGTACTTCAGCTTCTCATGAAACTTTCTGTCCAATCAAATGCTCTCTAGAAGCCCCCTACACTATAAAATAGACGCTGAAGCCGCGGCTGAAATCGGTCACTTGTCCACAGAATTAGTATTTTCTGTACAGTGAATGGCAAATAGTGCACTATATAGGGGACAGGGAACGATTCAAACAGTGTAAATATGCTTTCCATTGAGGAAAAAAAGAAGTCTGGTTTCGCACTGTGTCACGCTAACCACCGAGCGGATCACATGCGCGAGTCGGCGCAGACCACAAAATGTATCGGAGCTATTTGAATTCTACACAGAATGCTATATTTTATAGCAATATGGATGAGATTGTGGCTGGCATACCCTGTCAAATGCGGCTTTAAGGAACTCAACGGCTCTGAACGGCTTTAGCCCAAGCTGTGATATAAACGAACGCTACTGGCTATTTTAAAAAGGGGCAGGGCTGCTTGATATGTCCCACCCTGTCTTCCTGTTTCAGTAAAAATGACGTCAACACATAGTGTAACGCTGCGTGTTTCTAAGCATTTCAGGGGACCTTTAAAGGCACAATATGTCATTTTTGCCGCTAGAGGGCGCGTATTCAAAATAAACAAAGAATCAAAGGTGTAGTTTGATGACGCCGTGACTGAGTGTGGAATCATGGGAGTTGTCGTCTTCATCCCCACAGCCGATGCAATTCGACGGGATATTATGCCACAGTCGACCACTTCCACTCCTTCCGGTCGTCCGTATGTGGGGAAATAAAAGCAGTGCTGTTTTATCATACTAGATACATTTGAAAGTTCTGTTATAATGCTACTCTGTGCGATCGTCACCGGTCTAATAAAACGCACAACATATTAAAGCGTCTTTGGTGTTTCTAGGTGTTTCTTTTGAAATCTAGGGTGTATGACGTCATTGGCAGGCGACACAATGACACTATGGACACGGTCCGTGTCACTAGTTAAAATAGCTTATTTCTCTGGATTTAAACATTCTTCAAAACATTTGGGATAATGTAAGTAGTACACAAGTCAGCAAAATATATAACACTGTTCTAGTGGTTTTTGGATATTTTAATAAAAAAAATCTTACATATTGTGCCTTTAAGTCATATTTGGAACAAAACATTTGGGCTCTGTGAAGAATTATGATGTCTCTGTTGCACACCGATTTAAAGAAAGAGGAAAGAGAGACTAGATTTTCATGCTGCCTGGTTGCTAAGAGAGACATGCACACCTTTATAAATAGCTGTCTCTGGTGCACTGCTACTGGCCTGCAATGCTCTTTAAAAATGGATGGTGACCTGATGTTCATGATTTAAGCAGACAGCTGGGTGACACTGGAAGCTCTGGAAAGGCCACATCAGCTTAAGAATGACCTTGTCCATCAGACTAGCACGGTAGAGACATATTTGTGGTGACTGTTTGAAGACTGACTGAGCAACAGCACCACAAATGAATCTGACACCTGTTTTTTAAAGTTTTTTTTTTCCAAACATGCATGAACAGTTTTCATCTCCACAAAAACATACAGTGTGCACAAATAACACTTAAAAAAATTAGTTTAGTAACTTTGACCTCTAGAAACCACTGTGACAAAGAAATTCTATAATTAATTGAATCTGAAAACCATTTTCCATGCAAATAAAATAGGCTGGTTTAGCCTGGTTATAATTATTAGTAGCCTACGCTAGTTATTAGTTAACCACTGGCCTGTCCCATTCAATGGCAATGTCATTGTAAAATCTAACCTATATCTTTTCGTTAGACAAGAATTTTCTATTTAAATCTTACTCTAAAAATCAAAACGCATTCTTTAGGAAGGCCTACAGCAGCTTAAAGGCACTCTTGGGCTTCTTTATCGTCGCGCGGTCATTCAGCAATGTCAACTGGCCCTATAAGTCACCCCATCCCGCAGAACCAAAGTTTAACGTGATTTTACTACAAAATAAACGCGACTGAGGTTTGACCTACAGACATGACCGTATAACCGGTTAGCACGGCTCGTGCTGTATTCGGCAGCGCCGTTACCTTCACCTGAAATCTGGGCGCCATTACAGGATGCTGCTGTCTTTACTTCGTATGACAGCACTGCTGTCGCAAATCACTGCGACTTACCGAGATACACATTTTTAATTGCAATGAATGTAAAGCCTACTTGCAGGTTCCAGCCAGCTTAATAAATTAGATTAATAAAACACCGCATGCTGAAGAAGCTTCACACTGCCACATGCACGATGCGGATTAAATGCATTCTCTATTTTTCTTGCGAAACATACCGTTTATGTTCCGTTTCGTCGCAGTAGATCATTAAGCTATATGTCAATGGGGAAATCTTCCGTTGGCCGCCATTGCCTCTTTCAGGTTGAAATGTAGGTTAGTAGGATGTCGCTACATCCGCACGCAGCTGGAGATGCTTTCAACCCGACGCTCTCCGTCTCCTGCCCGCATCCCGTTTCCGTGGTAACCAGCATGTCCGCTTCATCAGCAGCACGCTGCTGGTTAATGCACACGATTACTGCTACTGCCTCGGCATAGCCAAATCACAACAGAGCTGTTGGATTTAACTATGTATTTTAGGCAAACTGACAGTCTTATCCAATAATTGTAGAACAAAAACATTTTAAAAAGTAAAACTGTGCAGATGTTACCTGAAGACATTGTTTCTTTTGAAGCTTCGAAATATTTACGAGTCTTTCGTTTCGAATCAGTGATCGGAGGCTTCGTTACGTCATACTGTTTCGAATCTTGATTTCGATTTTTCAAAATTCCAATGGTTCGCCGCCAAATGGCTTTGATCTGGTGAACCCATGAACGAGTGTCCAATGTTTCGGTCAGTTTTATAATGTAGGTTCATTTTTAAATATGAATGAATTTTAATACGTAGGTCTATGCGTGTATAATAAAGTAGAATGATATTTGCTTCTAATTGACCTAGTTTATCAACCCTTGTCTAAGAAGACACAAAACAGGCCTTGTACATTAATAGAAGAACATGAATTTTACAAAGCCTTCATATTTAATGGTATGTAATGATTTGTAGATTGCATTTAATAGATTACACTTTCATGAAAACATTTGCAATTGCTTTGTAAAATGTGTCATTATACATGTTTCGGCTGAGTTTTCGTTGCACTTAAAGCTTTTGACCAGCAGATGCCGCCCAACATGTTGTGTTTCGAGCGCTTCGAAATAGTGAATCATTTTGCGAAGCAATTGGTTCAATTGATTCAGAGTTTCGAAAAGCTTAATTTCTCTCATCACTCTCGGAAGGTGACCTGGCAGGGATTAAGAAATACAAAAATCAAATAAAAACATTTAATTTGATTTAATTTTATAGGCTAATCTTTAAATGATTCATAAGTATTCGGTGTGTACTGTGATACAGTACAGCATTTATTTGAAATAGAAATCTTTTGTAACATTAATGTCTTTACTGTTATTTTAATGCCTCCTTGATGAATAAAGTTTTTTTTTTAAATCTTAATTATACCAAAATTTTGTACTGTAGTGTATCACAGTTTTCCTAAAATTAAAAATCAGCAAAAACTGTTTTCAACATTGATAATAATAAGAAATGTTTTGTGAACACCAGATCAGCATATTAGGATGATTTCTGAAGGATCACTGAAGACTGGAGTAATGATGCTGAAAATTCAGCTTTACCACCACAGGAAGAAATTATATTTAAAATTAATTTTAATTTAAATGCAGCCTTGCTGAATATAAGAGACTTCTTTCAAAAACATTTTTAAAAATCCTAATTATTCCAAACGTTTGACTGCTTGTGTATATATATTGTACAATTTCTGGCGTTTCATCTACTAACATTACTGTGCCCCGTTGAATCATGCGATCTATATAGAACACACAAAGTCTGTTTAACTCGAACACTTAGGTATGCTGTGCTCTAATCAATGTATTGCTCAACTTCCCCTGATAAGACCTTCTCCTGCCCATGGGCTCGGTCATATAAAGTCTTGAGGGAGATAACCAGCATTTCTCAAAATCTTCACTCAGGCACACAAACGGTAAGCTCTTCATTCTGCTGTTTTTTGTTTTTTTTTAAGCTTAGAAACGCATTGTCAAGATCAGGGTTAATATAAGATTCATATCAGCTTTCTACAGTGGCTGGACCCAGACAGTGAGCAGCCATGCCATCTGAACTAGAGACCGCCATGGAGTCCCTCATCATGGTATTCCACCGCTACGCTGGAAAAGAGGGCAAGAGCGGCACCCTGACCCGCCGTGAACTCCGAACCCTTATGGAGAACGAGCTCTCTGGGTTTCTCAAGGTGAAAAACTTCTGTCATAAATACTATAATTCTGGCCTCCTCTCTTTCATTTTCCAAGAAAAGGAAATCCAGACCTTTTCTCTCGTTTATCAAACACATTTTATTCTCTTTTCCCACAGTCTCAGAAGGATCCGACTACCATAGACAGAATTATGAAGGACTTGGATGCCAATGGAGATGGGGAGGTGAACTTTGAGGAGTTTGTGTCTTTGGTTGTGGGTTTGTCCATCGCCTGTGAAGCGTGCTACAGGATGCAGTTAAAGAAGACACAAAGCTGGAAATGAAGAGGAAAATGATCCATGCAGACAAACTGTAAAGTTAATCATGTTGTCTATTAAAATGTCTGATTTTTTTTTTTTCCTTTTCGTTTCCTCGTATGCCACAAGAGGGCAGAAAAGACCCGCACAAGATCCGTACTACATACTATGGGTGCTTCTCAAACGGAAGGCTGCGTCCTTCCTAGCTCAGTCCTTCAGAGTCTTGTAGGCTAAAGTCCTCCTCGGCATTAAACGCTAGAATGAGACAGTCTAATAAGTGTGCGTGGCTACGTCACATATGTTCCCGCCCTCACCGCCACGGCACGAAAATACTAATAAAACTTAGTTTTGGAAAAATACTTTGTATTACAAATCATTATATTATTTGGCTTTCTATTAATGCAATACAATGAATCACAGCCGTCTAGTCTCCCGGTGGCTTACATTATTGGCAGTTGCAGACATACATATAAAAATTAAATTAAATTAAATTAAATTAAATTAAATTAAATCAGTCAGCTAATCGTATCCACCCTAGGACTGTAGTGTCATACCATTTGAACTGTGACAAATCCACTAGATGTCGCTCTAGTTTTATAATTCAGTAAGACCAACACAGTTGATGAATGACTTATTTTGGACAATGTTGCTTTATCCAAAAGTATGTTGCTGTTAAAATTTATGTAATTTATGTCGCTTTATCATTATTTCGGATAACACATTGCCATCTAAATTATCAAAATACAACATTTAATCTTACTAATGTGTGACTGAGTATAAAGTATAGGGGAAACTACGACTAGTTGTTTCAATTTACTCCTGTGAAAATTTCTGATTTGACCTTATACCCCAGGTCAATATGTAGTTATACTACATACACTTACGACATATAAAGAAATATTAAACTAAAAAATTAAAATGAAAAATAAATATATAAATAAATAATGAACAATATATTAAAGTTTTGGTAAAAAAAAAAAAAAACAATATGACAACTTGCACCAACATATGAAAAGTATTCTTCGCTGAGAACATAGTTCAACCTTTCAGTTGAAATCTGAAGAAATAATAATAATAATAATAATAATAAATTGAAAATTAAGTCAAATCTGAATCTGAAAGTTGACATTTGTCAGAATGTATGTCAGTGTGGTTTTATTTACCTTAGTTCAATTGTTTACACAACAGCTAAAAAGATGATGTTATAGATTATGTATAGATTTTTGTATAGATAAATTCACAAAAAAAATATGAACTAGGTTTTTGAAACCAACGTACAAAAAAAAAGTGACAACTTGCCCCGGTCTCCTTTATATATTACATTCTGGTATCTAATTATACTTTTAATAATATGTAATTTATGTCGCTTTATCATTATTTCGGATCACACATTGCCATCTAAATGATCAAAATACAACATTTAATCTTACTAATGTGTGACTGAGTATAAAGTATAGGGGAAACTACGACTAGTTGTTTCAATTTACTCCTGTGAAAATTTCTGATTTGACCTTATACCCCAGGTCAATATGTAGTTATACTACATACACTTACGACATATAAAGAAATATTAAACAAAAAAAAATAAAATGAAAAATAAATATATAAATAAATAATGAACAATATATTAAAGTTTTGGTTAAAAAAAAAAAACAATATGACAACTTGCACCAACATATGACCTCAGGTCCGCGCGTGGTTCGGATCGTAAAGTCGGAATCGGGATACGGATTCAACGTCCGCGGTCAAGTGAGTGAAGGCGGCCAGCTGCGGAGCATTAACGGGGAGCTGTACGCTCCTCTGCAGCATGTCAGCGCCGTGCTACCCGGTGGTGCGGCGGACCGGGCCGGTATAGGGAAAGGAGACAGAATACTAGAGGTGTAAGTCTTTTATTTCCCACTTTATTTCTCATTTCAGCCTAGAAATCAGCATTGCTCTGCTGTCAGTCTGTTTGACACAGTTACCCAGGCGCACTGTTGGCTTGACGTTATTTTTACACGTTAGCATAAGGGTCTGTGGACTTGTTTAAGCTTTCGTGCTCGTGCACATCCCTGCTAATACAATAAACAGATCATTATTATGTAAGACGTGAGCAGATAACGCGTAGTGGGAAGTTCTCAAACGGTAAACGGTTGTTGTGCAACAGGGTCATTGGTTTGGTGTGTTCAATAATTCGTGCGTGGTTCCACTGACGTTTATGTGTCATAAATCCAGAAGAATCTCGCGCCCGGTGACTTGTTGATACATGACAGTAGCATGATCACATGCTGTCATATTGATCTCTTATCACTGATGCAGCTGATAAATATAGGTCCTGACATGTTAGCATCTTAAATTGTAACTTGCTGTGAGTGTCAGTAATATCCTGGCCTTGCAAGTGCATATGATTGATCATTTTAAAAAGAAGGCAGTCTATAAAAGTAGTGGTTTGCTTGTATGTGTTTTAATGGCTAATACTTGTATATGGAGCGCTGGCTGGCCGACGTTGGCATCTTAAACTGTAACTTACTTGCTGTGAGTGTCAGTAATATCCTGGCCTTACAAGTGCATATGATTGATCATTTTAAAAAGAAGGCAGTCTATAAAAGTAGTGGTTTGCTTGTATGTGTTTTAATGGCTAATACTTGTATATGGAGCGCTGGCTGGCCGATATAATGCACACATAATAGCAAATAAGATTACATAAAATTGATACATTTAAAGAAACACACATTTTACATGATATTTAGAGATAAATATCCCAATATGTGGCAGCTTTGAGATGTCCATTTTGCTGCTTAATATAGCGTCCCTTGTGTAAGTTTGAACAAGCTTAAAAATGAATACACAATTGCTGATTTCTGATATTTTTAGTGAATGTTGTGTAAAAATGTTTTTTTTATTGTACACTACCGTAAAAGTTTCGGGCCAGTAGGACTTTTTAATGTTTTTGAAAAGTCTCATGCTTGCAAGGCTGCTTTTACTAGATAAAAATACAATAAAAAAAACAATGTGGGACATTATTACAATTTATTTGAAAATATTTGACATTATAATTTGTTTCTGTGATGGCAAAGCCAAATGTTCAGCAGCCATTACATCAGTATTCAATGCCACATCTTTCAGAAATCATTCAAATAATAATTTCAAGAAACATTTCTTTTTCTTCTTCTTTTGGAAACCGTAAAATTTTGTTTCAGGATTCTTTGAGTAGTTGTTGAAAGTTCAAAAGAACATATTTTATTGGAGAAAAAAATCTTATGTAACATTATAAATGTCTTTACTGTCACTTTTGATGAGTTTAATGTGTCCTTGCTAAAATAAAAATATTGCTTTAAAAAAAAATCTTACTGACCCTAAACTTTTTAACAGTAATGTATATATGCATACAATCCAGATGCCATAATCAAGGTGTATTAATCCATATCAGTATTATATTGGCTGCCAAGCATTCTAGTTTTTGGCATGTCATGTGAACAACAAATAATATTTGCTCAAACTTCACCAGAGAATATTTGAAAATATATCCCTTGACAAGGCTGTCAGTAAATTTTGACATTAGGCAGAATGACTGATCTTTTTAATCAGCCAGGGCTAATAATATTAATTAATAAAATTAATTTCACAATATCAGCTGATTAAATGGTCATTGAGCAATTGAGCGACTGTGTGAACATTGAGAACAGTGATAAGAAAGTATCTTCCTTCAGTGAATATTTTGCAGACGCTCTGCATTAAGTATTAATTCATAAGCTGCATTATGCATGTATAGAGCCACGTTGCTGGCCATAATTAGTCATTTGGAGGTGTGACAGGTAACGTGATCGGCATTATAAAAATCAGACGTATTGGGGTCACTGTTTTATCTTATGGGAAAATCAGAAGTTGAATAAGGCTTCCCAAGGGCCACAGAATGTGGTGTAGTTCTTCATAATGCCAGCCCCAGGCAGTAAACACAAATGCTGGTGGTGTGCTGTTTTCAGTTCACTCAAACCACTTTCCCTAGACAGTCTTTATCACCTGAACTCGATGTGCAATGCGGTCATCTAATTTGTGTGTGTTTTAGGCCTAGATTAACTCGTGGCATGTAAACAAAGAAACCATTCATGCACTGCACACTAGTGTCAGAAGACTACAATTATTATTTTTGTATAACAAATGATGTTACACTACTTTATTGCTCAGTGTTCTCTTTAAAAATTAACTTTTATTCACAATGGCCAAGATCTGAATCAGTGTTGCTAATTTTATACCACGTTGACATATTGCATTCATTGAAAATGTCATGAAAACATTTACCTCTCCTTGAAAGGAAGGAAATGCAAAGGGTTATTAGGGACATGAAGGTTCTTATTTAGCCTCGGTCAAGTTTACTTCAACAAGTTAATTTAAACAACATTTCACTTTTACACCTAATATGAACATGTACTTTATAGTTTACCTCCAATAATTCACCGGAAATTCTTGAGGAACGTCTTTAGGAACATGTTGAGTGTTACATTTAGTAGGTTTTTAAGGGAAAAAATAGTCTTTTCAAACAAATCAGCTTTGAAAATACATTAATTGTGTTTGTTATTGTGTTAATCAATGTGAATGTTTTCTATTAAATCTTATATGTTAAAGGGATGCCCACCCCAAAAATTTCTCATCATTTACTCCCCCTCATGTCGTTCCAAAACTGTATGACTTTCAAACAGTTTCAGGTTCCCATTGACTTCCACAGTATTTTATTTTTATTTTTTTTCATAGAGTGAAAGTCAATGAGAACCTGAAACTCTTTGGTTACCAACATCCTTCAAAATATATGGAAGCCCGTTTCCGCCACTGAATAAAAAATAAAAAAGGTAATTGCGACTTTTTATCTCACAATTCTGACTTTTTTTTTCTCAGAATTGCGTGATACAAACTCGCATTTCTGACTTTTTTTTCTCAGAATTGCATGATACAAACTCGCAATTCTGACTTTTTTCTCAGAATTGCATGATACAAACTCGCAATTCTGACTTTTTTCTCAGAATTGCATGATACAAACTCGCAATTCTGACTTTTTTCTCAGAATTGCATGATACAAACTCACAATTCTGAGAAAAAAAGTCAGAATACTCTTTGGTTACCAACATCCTTCAAAATATATGGAAGCCCGTTTCCGCCACTGAATAAAAAATAAAAAAGGTAATTGCGACTTTTTATCTCACAATTATGTCGGGCAGACAGCTGTGCTCGAAGCGTTACCGGGAGTTCGCAATACTTCATCAGAACCTGAAGAGAGAGTTTTCCAACTACAATTTCCCAAAGCTGCCAGGGAAATGGCCCTTCTCTCTGTCTGAACCACAGCTGGATGCTCGCAGGAGGGGGTTGGAGGAATACCTGGAGAGAGGTGAGACAGAGGACAGAGAGAGGAGGAAATAAAGTGTCAAATTAACCTCAGGCCTTCCTTTCTTATGTATTATTTTTTGATTACAATGACGAAAAAATGCAAGTGTTGAAAAAAATGCAGGTCTTGTTTGCAATGTGTCCTGGTTTCATTTATTTTCTTACTCCCACCTATAATTTCATCTTACTACCGCTAATAATTTTCCATTCTTTACTATATGTATGTTTAATAAAATGACATTTAAATGCCACTTTATTAAATGCATAAAAAAATTACATTGAAAACAAATTAAAACAAAAATCGATTTGGGTTTTAATAAAATAAATAAATAAATAAAAAATATATATAATTTTTTTTTTAAAAATTTTTCCTATTTTATTTTATTTACCAAAAATGTTTTTAATAGTTTTAGTTTAAGTTAACAACACTGGGTAAATACAAAAATGTTAATGGTTATAAAATAGTCTTCATTGTGTAATTTTTGGGGGGGTAAAATGTGACCTTGGTCTCTTAACTCTTTACTTTTTTTTTGTAACACATTAATTTATTTACAATGGAAGTGGTTTTGCATGCTTGTTCACAGAGTGTTATAGATGCATGAGCTATGAAATGCACTTCTCGATATAAATATATATCCTGCCTTTCTCTCTTGTCTATCGACATGTTTCAGTGTGCTCCGTGCGGGTCATAGGTGAGAGTGACATTATGCAAGAATTCCTGTCTGAATCAAATGAGGTAAATACAGTATGTGTTTGCAAACATTGTATGTAGATCTGTGTAAAAATAGTTTTGCTCTGCAGCACCGTTTCAACACGTGTCTTGTGTTAAAGAACCACAACGGCATAAATGATGTCGAGCTACGGATAGCGCTTCCTGATAAAACCACAGCCTCAGTGAGAGTCAGAAAGAATAGCACCACTGACCAGGTTTACCAGGTAAAATGTCATAGACTGTGTTGTCTGATAGCCAGACTGTGGTGTGTCTATTCAAATATCAACTCAAAGACCTCAACTGAAGCTCATCCTAGACATAAACAAGTATCGTTTTCCCCTCTTTTTCAGGCTCTTGTCGTGAAGGTTGGAATGGACAGCATCATGGCTAGTTACTTTGCTCTCTTTGAAGTTATTAACCACTCGTTTGGTGAGCGTTCACTATATTTTCCTTCAAGTGTTTGTGTTTTGAATCAGTTTTTGGCTCGACAAGAAGAAAACTTTTATGCACTGTGGAAAGCGGATGGATGACCTTGTTATGAAGTCAAAAGCAGTTGCGTTTATGATACTTATTAAGGGCGATTAAACTGCCACTTTGTGATTCCTCCATAATCAAACAAACAAACCTTCTGTATGTTTTGACCCAGCTGGCAAGCTCAGATAAGGTGCTACCCAGCACATAAAGGACACTGGGCCTTGTTAATGAAACATGAACAGCACAGATTTCAGTGCAAATCATTCGCAAAACCCTTCTTACATAGACTTACAGAACACGCTCAGAGAAAAAGTTACAAAACTGTCACTGGGGTGGTACCCTTTCAGAAGGTACTAATATGAGCACTTTAGATACTAAGATGTACTTTTAAAGTTGTAATATGTACCTTTGAGCCACTAATATTTACCATTTAGGGGTAAATAAGGTACAAAGATGTACCTTATAGCTTTTGTACCTTAGGGCACCGCCCAGTAACAGCTTTGTTCCTATTTTCTGAGAGTGAAAAATGTTGTTTGTCTGTAAATAATGCACTTGTGGGTATGCCACATATGATGGCTAAATAGTTTTAAATATCAAATTTATTGTAGAAATATATAACACATGTGGGGCTTTCGAGCTTCAAAAATATAGAAAACCTATCAGAAAAGTATGGTTAAAGTGGTCCATGTACATTTTGCACTATTCCTGGTCATACAATAGCTTTGTGTGTTGAAATAGACTAGATGTGGGGCTTGCTTCAAAAATAAAGAAAACCTATCAGAAAAGTATGATTAAAGTGGTCCATGTACATTTTGCACTATTCCTGGTCATACAATAGCTTTGTGTGTTGAAATAGACTAGATCATTGAGTCAGTGAATTGTTTAATGAATCAGTTTGTAAACTGGATTAGCTAATGCATTGAAAAGATCCAACTCAAAAGGCTGTGTTTATTTGATTATTATTATTATCATATTTAAAATATATAATTTCTTTTGTGATGCCAAAAATAAATTTTCAGAAATATTTATTATTACTATTAATGTTGAAGACAGTTGTGCTGCTTCATATTTTTGTTGAAACTCTAATACCATGTTTCCAGAATTCTTTGATAATTTTTTTTTTTTTTTTAAGTTCAGAAGAATAGCATTTATTTATTCTTACTGAATTAAAGTACTAAAAACAACTTGCTGACCCCAAATTTTCAAGGTTTCGAGATTTCATTTTGTTCATCATACAAAGCTGTTTTCTAATGTATTGGGCTCACCATAAATCACTAAACTGTTTGTGTGCGTAGTTCACTGAAAATCTCTCTCTGTGTTGTCAGTGCGCAAATTGGCTCCTAATGAGTTCCCGCACAAGCTCTATGTTCAGAACTACACATCAGCTGTACCCGGGACGTGTCTCACGATGCGGAAGTGGCTCTTCAGCACACAGGAAGAGGAACTGCTGCAGGACAACCCTCTCGCTCTGCACTACTGCTTCCATCAGGTCAGTCCCACTGGCCTTAACCGCTGAAGTCGGTTTATTGTCAATTCTCTCTTTCATTGCGAATAAAATATATATAGTGTTTCCAGACATTTAGCACTGTTTTTATGATGGACTCTTGTGGACTAAAGCAATAAGCACAAACACAAATGCAGACCATAAACAGCACAAATGGACTTTGTACAGCTAGCAAGGTGTCAGGTTAATGCCTCATCTAATCCCACAAATGCCCATTTAGGTTTACTTTACATTTTATTCAGTGTATTTGTATAGCTGAAGTCAGATAAGATGCCTCTAAAGCAAATCTGTGGTTTTAATTTAAACAGCACTTCATTTTAACCTATATAATCAGATCAGTCAGAGCTGATCATCTTTTACAATCTGTTTTTTTTTTCTCTCTCTCTCTTTTTTTCAGGCACAGGATGATTTGAAGAAGGGATTCATTAAAGCAGAGGATAAGGCATACCAGCTGCAAAAACTAGCAGAACAGAGAAAAATGACAATGGTCTCTCATACTTTATCCATCATAGAATGCTGCATATAAGTGCTATTTATCTTTTCATGAAACCTGTGAATAACACGTCCAGGCCTCACTTCACCTCAAAATCAAATAAAAAATAATAATAATAAAAATAAAAATAAAATCAAGCCTATTTATTTTAATTTCTTTTTTTAATAACATTTCCCTCAAAAATTCGAATTACTCTAAAGCAAAAGCAAAAAAAAAAATCTTTCTCATTAGTGTAATTTAAAAATACATATAATATGGAGTGTTAGTATTATTTACATACTATTTCAGTTTTTATTGATATTTTGAATTGTTTATTTTTTCAGTTTAGGTTTTAGTAATTTAATGTTTTTGTCATTTGTATTATATATATATATATATATTTTTTTTTTTTTTTTTTTTTTTTTTTTTTTT